GAGTGCGGGGCCCGGTCGCTCTTTGTTAACGGTAACTGGCCCCGTCCTCAACGCCCTAGCCCGAGGAGGAGAAAAACGCTTGTTAAAAGCGAAGTCTGGGTCAAATTGACCAGGACGAAAGGGAGGGTCCTGGCTGCTGCTGCACATCAGATGCTTCCTGGTGAAGTCAGGAGGCTCAGGACTTCGACCTGGGCAACAAACCAACCAAGGGCCTAGTAAATATCTTAGGGAACTTCTTTACCTGGACCTTTTTTGCTGATGATGTAATTAGCAGCCTAAAAATATAATCTTTGCTTTGATTTTTTTTTCCCTCCTGCATCAATATATGCTGGTTTACAAGACAGTAAAAACTTTTATCCTGCGAAGTCAGGAGGCTCAGGACTTCGACCTGGGCAACAAACCAACCAAGGGCCTAGTAAATATCTTAGGGAACTTCTTTACCTGGGCCTTTTTTGCTGATGATGTAATTAGCAGCCTAAAAATATAATCTTTGCTTTGATTTTTTTTTCCCTCCTGCATCAATATATGCTGGTTTACAAGACAGTAAAAACTTTTATCCTGCGGTAGAAGTCAGAGCTTGTGACTAGAGGACTCCACAGCACCACAGACCGGGGACCACTGAGCAGAACAAAACATCAGTCATGTCTTGTGGGAACCAGGTAACACGATGTTCAGGAAAAGATAATTCCCCTTTCCTCTGTCACTTCATGAGCTAAGGTATGGGCCAAGGACAGGAGCACTGATGAGGCAACCCAGGAGCTCCTCTCATATATTTTACAGCAGTGAAGTTTTAACCCCATCTGAAGGCCCATCACCACTGGCTAGTAGATAGCAGTGGATATGAGGTCACATTGAATTTTAATAGAGTAAAATCCAGAAATATTTGGAAAGCATCCTGGACAGAGCCATGTCCTGAGCTGCTCTGCTTACTTTATTCCCTCCCCACCCACCCAACACAAACTAAGACAATCCTGCAGGCAAAGGTGGCATCAGTGTCTCTTGCTGGCTTCCCTTTTGCGTTGCAGTCCCTGGGTCATCAATATGAGCCATAACGATCCTGGGGAGGAAACACACCAAGACACCATGCTACAACACTTCAGGCAAACTCCAGAGATGGGTAAAAAAGTCTTGAGGTGTTTGGGATTGGAATGCAGTGCGAGGTTACTAAGACAGGATGCCATGCAAAGGCAGGAAGTGAAATGGCCTTAACTTTTTAAGTTCTGCCTGAGATTTGTGGGAAAAGGCCTATCTGACATAATAAGGTGTCCTGTCCAGCAGGAGAGTAAAGTTGGCCAAGTAGAGTTCACTGGCCACCTGGAATTGCGTAGCTATTGTAGTGTACTCATCAGCTACAGAAGACAGGTCTCCACTTGGGACTTTCCATGTAATTTGAGAAGACAATGATAATTCCAGTGGAAGCCAGGGTATGATGAAAGTCCCTGGGCATGAGGATAATCTGTCCAAAGGTGCCACAGCACAGCCTCACCTGGAGGGAGTTCATCACTCCATTGGCTAGGACAGCCATCTTGCCAGCTACTGATTTCACTCCTTGCTTGAACTGTGCAATGTCGGCTGCAGGCAGGACATTTCCAATCGACACACCGCCTACAAGAACCAGCCAGAGTTAGCCAGGAGCCCTCCAACTCCAGAGAGCACCATAATCCCCCTCCAGTCTGGATGCTCCAAATCTACCCCCTTGTCAACCCACTGAGTTCTAACAAACCTGAGTGCATATTCTCAGCCTCTCCAAACAGGTCTGCAGAGCTAATGGCACTGCTGCCCGACAGCTGCTGCAGTCGGGATCTGGCTTCGTACTGCGGCAGAAAACAAAATAAACCAAAAAGGTTACGAAGAAAGGGAGCAAAAGGAGGACCTGAGCCAACAGGAGATGAAGCCAAAGCTGTAGCAGCTTAAGCACTGCAGAATGCATCTACCTCAGTGTCTGCCTCCCGCCCAAAGAACATATCTGAAGAGATAGCTTTAGCCCCTGCAAACTTCTGCCGAGCTTCACTGGATTCCACAACGGATGTCCTGTTCTCTGTCTCCCGCCTACTAGTCGGTCTGAGGAAACAAGAGAGGAGACATCACAGCTTCAGCTCACCAATACAGGAAAGAAACACTTCTTTTTCAGACCCCACGTGATCAAAGGGAAGCTACAAATCCTCAAGTGCTAGGTACCATCAGTTTTCTTCTCTCCACCTCAGGACAGCCAGCATTTGATGACCATAAAGGCAGTATCAATCTTAGGGACACAACAGGCAAAGAAATGCTCAAGCCTCTTTCACTCAAGGCCCTTTTTCTTGGGCTTGTCCATGTAAGTTATCTTCTGGAGCACAAGGTTCCTGTCATAAACAGCAGCATCCCTCTCTCCCAGAGGCAAGGAAGGTACAGCAGCAGTGGCAGGCACTTTACCTCTCTGAAACTGGCCGAATACTGGAAATGGTCACCTCAGGTTCCTCCTCTTTGTCCATACCCCATGAAGAGTCCGTTTCCCATCGTGAGCCAAACGCATCTTCAAATGAGAAGGGACTGTATTTGTACCTAGGTACCAAAACCAGGTAATTTAGGCCAGACATTAAACTCCAGAATAAGCCAAAGACTACACTGGAGCTAAGTCTTACTTGGGGGGTCCAGATGCAAAGCTTCCAGCATCTTCGAACAAGTCCAGTTGGGATCGGGAAGACTTGGCAGCCAGCGGCGTCTCCTGCTCAATTACTTGCATCTCAGACATCACCGAATGTGAAACAGAACTATCAAAACAAACAGGCAGTCAGGGCCCACGGGTCAGACAGCATCCAGCCCCTACAACCAGTTATTCATAGAATCACACAATGGCCAAGCCTGGAAGGGACCTTAGAGATCATCTAGTCCAACCTCCCTGTCATGGGCAGGGACGCCACCTCTCGACTAGACCAGGCACCACATGGGGCCCGAGCGGGAATCGAACCCGCGACCTTGGCGTTGGTCCTTGTTGTCAGCACCGTGCTCAAACCACTGAGCTAACCAGCCCCCTAATCTTGAAACCCTATCTGGCCTTCAGAAGCAGGGCAAGCACAAGGCTTGAGGGACACCTGTGGGATACCAGTCCCTTTCACCACTTTTCCTGAGTCCCTCAGGAGTCTTGAGATACCTTCTTAAGGCAGATATGCTGCAGGGGTACCTCTATCAAGCAGCAGGCCTCTGGGGCTAGATGCTACCAGGCCACATGCATCCTTGGGAAAGCTCAGAGGAGAACTAAAACCTCCGAACAGAGCACCCACTCCTTCTGGGCCCTGAAGTGTTTTTAGACAGGGTCCAACATATAAGCACTTCAAATCAGCTCCTTATCTGTTACCAGCACAGCAAGCTACTGCCTTCAGGAAACTTTTCCTGAGCAGGGTCCTTCCACAGCACCCGTCTGTCCCACGCCATCCGCAGCCAAGTACCTTCTGGACACCAAGCCCATGCCCAGCCTCTCTGCTTGTTCACGCTTCTTCCCTTCAAGGTTCTGAAGTTTCTTCTCTTCCTTCTTCCTATCTAGCTGCAGCTCCTGGTAAGCCAGTCGCATTGAGGTGACTCTAAAGGGAAGAGCTATGTGGGTACCAGCTCATTAGTCTCCCCTCCAGCCCATGCTGTGAAGAGGCAAGGGGGAGAGTAACCCTAATAACCCATCAAAAAAACAAAACAAAACATTTCCACAACAGCTCTGCCAAAAATCCTGCTTGTCTTGCCATCTCATTTCCACTGGGATTCAACTCTTATCTGACTAACCACGATTTCCTTTCTATAAGCACTGTGCTCCCACCCCTGACAGAATGCCCCACGCAGTTCAGCCTTTGCCTTTTTCAATTCTGTCCAAAAGTCAACAGAAACACAGAATATTTCCATATCTGCTCCTTAAATTCTTGCAGGGATGCTCATTTGAATAAAATATGCCAGTATAACTTGTGCCCTGCTGTAAGGACCATATCGGCTTATAGCTACTGCTCATCCTAGCATGCAACATGTTCTGTACTCGCATTAGAAGGTCCTAGGGTGCCCAGCGTTAACCTCGTATCACCTTACGTATGCAAGGAATTCAGCCCAAACAGGGCACTTACATGGACTCCTCAGCTTGTTTCCTGGACTCCATCGCCTGCTGCTCCCTCAGCTGCTCTGCCACCTGGGCTTGCCGCTCAATCTCAGTGAAGCTCTGGCTGCTCACTTTCTGAGCTCCAAGACCTTTTTTTGCACCCAACTTGAAAAAAACAAAAACAAAATCTTGAAATTTCTTCAACCTACATTGTTCATCATAGAAGAAAACCAGAATCCTCTTCCTTGCTGCACTTAACAGGCCTTCAGTCTCTCTGTGTAGTCACAACCTTTAGGCCCAATACGGCTTGCAGCAGAGTATGGAAGAACACCCAGAAGTTAACCAAACAGTACTAAGAGATCAGCCACATACACTTCAGAGCATAGTGAGTAATGATCCAAAGCCCAATTTTTTCTGGCCATTAATATACAAGGTATCTTTCAAAATACGCAGTGATATAAAAAAAGGCCTCCGTTCCTTGATCAGATCTCTCAGGACACAGCAGAAAGGGCAGAAAGCAAGGCCAGGGAAAGGATGGCAGTAATATGAGATTGACTCTACCTTCTTTCCACAAAACAAGAGCTCAGACATACCCCTTTCTTGGCAGCTCCTGGTTTCTTCTTTCCAATGAGGGAGGACTTAAGTTCTGCAAGAGAAGGGAAACAGCAAATAAGCAGAACTGAGTTAGTTTAAGAAGCCCACGTTAGTCAGCAACCCACACAAATATCCACCAAAGCCCAGCTGCGAGAGTCCAAGGCACACCATGCAGCTTCACATCAGAAGCCTGGGTGACTTCACCCAGCCAAGAAAGATGCACGTTAAAGCTCCACAATTGCAGGCTGGTGGTCTAGAGAAGCATGTCCATTGCTGGAGAAACTTGTGAGTGAATTAAGACCTTTGAATAGCTCATCCAAGGTTCATGCAGTTGGCGACTCTATCCAGTAAGGATCAGAGTAGCTCAAGTAAGACTAGATTTATTCTATATATAAATCCAGGAAAATGCAGCTTCAGAGCCATATGAAGATCAGTGCCTCACCAATGCCTTAGGGAAAAGAAGCAAGAACCCTAAAGTCATGTTTACATGAACAGACCAATGACAAAACAAACCTAAAGTGCAATGAACTGTAAAAGCAACAGGTTCCCCAACACCTTGCACCAAGAACCTGTCACTCTGAGGGCATGAGGCAAGCCACACTAGTGAAACCAGCCAAGGTCTAGCCAAGCAGCAGATGCCTGGGGAAAAGTGTAAGAACAAGCTAAACGGAGACAGACCGCCCAGGATATTTTCACAGCTTCAACCTGTAGCTCAGAAATCTTTTATTGCCCTTGCTAGGCTTTCCTTCCACAGAAGCGTCTCCTTACTTTCTACATCTCTATGACTTTTGTCAACCCATACTTTACATCATTCTTGGCAGCCTTTCCGGTATCCCTTTTTGTCCTGCCCTAAGTTTTTTGAAATGAGGGGGTTCAAAACATTCACGCTACCCAAGACTTTTTCAGCTTACTGTTCCTAACATTTGGGGTTGTTTTTTGGTTTTGTTTTTATTACAGTCAGGAAACATTTAACAGTAGTGTCAACAAGATCCCTCTCCATATATGGAATAGCTGGTTTAGATCCCAATGTGATACATATAAGCTTTGGCTCATTCCCTCCCTCTAAGCACAGGAAGCTGAAGTTAGAGCTGAAAGCAGAATCACAGAAAGGGCAGGCAGAGTTGTCACAAGCAGCCAGCACAGGCCAGCTGTCAGCCAGTTACCTCTGGCAGGAGCAGGCCCTTGTGTTGATAGACACATGGACATGTCTGAGGAAGAGACATAAAACACGGGGCATGAACAGACATTTGATGTCACAGGCCTTCCACTGCAGGAGAGTATGCTGGTTTTCGCAGGAATACAGTTAATTGGTATACTGGGATACAGTTAATTACAGTTAATTGCTGCTGAGCAGTGCTTGCCAAGAGTCAGGGCCTTTTCTGCTCCTCACCCCACCTTGTGGGCTGGGGGTGCACAAAAAGTTGGGTGGGAACGCAGCTGGGACAAATGATCCCAACTGACCAAAGGGATATTCCAGACCGTAGGATGTCATGCTCAGCATACAAAGCTAGGGGAAGAAGGAAGGGGGAGGATGTTCAGAGTGACAGAGTTTGTCTTCCCAAGTCACTGGAGATGGCTGAATTCCTTATTTTTCTTTGCCAGTGTGCACAGCTTTTGCTTTACCTATTAGACCATCTTTATGTCAACAAACATTTTACTCACTTTTACTTTTCTGATTCTCTCCCCCCTCCCACCAGAGCAGGGGAAGTGAGCAAGTGGCTGCACAGTGCTTAGCTGCTGGCTGGGGTTGAACCATGACAGCTAAGAGCACACTCTCAGTAAGGAAAGACGCTCCAGCTAGATTGTCTGTGTGCAGGCAGGGCAGTAATGGCAGGGGAGAATCAGATAAAAATCCCTACTACTCTGGAAGCTAAAAACTCTTTTGCCTCCAAAGCTTCTGGGGGGGAAAAAACAACCAAAAACCCAGGCAAAACAGCCACGTGGCCTTGACCAGCCAAATTACAGAAATGCAAATGCTAAGTTTTGTCCAAAGCTAAAAAAAAAAATTAAAAAAAAAATTAAATCAAACTTTCAGAAAGGCAACAGCTTTGAACTTGATCGTCCGAAAAAGAAAACGTCCGGTAAACTGTGGGTTGTATTTTGGAGTTTAGAGAGATCCTTGGTATTGGCTCCACAGGAAGATAAGCTCCTTTAGACCTTCTGGAAACTGAGTCATCAGATTCAGCTCCACTGAGCCCACTACTGAACTGCAGCTGATCTGAGAGATAATGAAGAATCTTACTTACCTAGGGGAGCTTTCGGAGATGTGCTCAACAAGTTAATCGAGGGGCCCTGGCTGGAATCTGTGGGCACAAAACCAAAAGAGAACTTTCAGCATAGAGATTCTTTCTTCTCAGTGTGCTCACAGTTCCACTGGATCTCTTTTCCCTTCTCTGACCAAACAAGCTAAGTTACAGTCCGAAACGTGCAATTTCCCAAGGACTACAACTTTATGTCTCCACAGAGCAAGGTATTCCCTCTGCAGTGTTGTTAACACATTAAAAAGAAAGCAAATACTCTGCAAAGGAATACACAAAGCAGTTTCAGACTACATCTGTGCCCCCAGAGTTCTGGGTTTCCTTATCATTCGCCCCAGAAACAGTTTTTTGCTTTGTATTCACAGATAATTTCCAAACCCACCATATTCAAGGGACAGAAAAGAATATTTAAACAAACAATTATGCCTGAAAGCAGAGAAACAGGGCAGTTAATCCCCAACATCATTTTGTGTGCATTTAAGAAAAAGCAGAGATCCGATCCCAAACATTGCAGTGCTTTTTAGAAATCTCCACTAATTTAACTAAACATCATAGAGTGCACAGAGGTTCCAGTCCTTCAAGCCTGAACCAAAGGAAAAGCTCAGCCCTTCCAACTGTGGTACAGAAGTCTATGTATGCTCCCGGAAATAAAGAATTTGGGAATATTGTTCAGGAGGGAACTCACTTGACACTTCACTGCCTTCTGACGACTTTACTGCTTTTTCCACCTCCGGGGAAGACTGTCCAGGACTCTGGCTTGCATCTGCTACATCCCAAGTACTGGAAGACTGCAAGGAGATGCACATTCCACTGATTTGCAGAAGATGAGAGAACCCAACAATCCTGAACTTATTTCAGGTTTAGTGACCTGTATTCTAGGCCAAAGGAAACGTTTTCTAAACTCCAGACTATGCCATCATTGAACATAACACATGGACAAGTCCACAATCCCTTAGCAGGGACAAAAATTAAAAGAAAACCCCCCCATATGCTAAACAGAATGGAAAGCCAGGAGGAACAACAGCATCACTTGAAAGTAGTATCATAGTTGGCTACTGACTTCCCAGGTTACGGAGATGAGCTTAAACTGGGGAGAAAGAGCATGAATGAGTTTCTCTGGAAAAAAAATAATCTTGGCTTCCCCTGTCTTTATTTCCATACAGCCAATTCTCATTTTAGTCAGTTCACTTGAGAAAGTTCGCCTAGCATTGGGCAGATACTTGCTCAAATCCACTTTACCAGGGTCTGTGCATTGAAAACCTGATTTAAACTCAAAGTTCAAAGTAGTAGCCAGTCCTTGCTTTAACGATACAAAAAGACTTTGCAGCACACAAAGCGTTTTCCAGAAAGTGGCTGGTAGTTCTGAGTATTCCTTAAAGATGGTCTTGAAAACAAAGGACACGGATATTACAGGCCCCATGAGGGACTGTTCAGATCTGCGACTATGTCCCACGCTGGTGCCTGAATCTCGGTTCTTCCACATTAGTACTGAACAAGCATACAACTTAAAAAGTCCTTCCAAACTAAGTGGGACTGCTCCTGGCTGAAGAGCTGGCTATTTGAGCACTGTTAAGGCTGTCTGGTTTAGGCAATTCTTCTCACCTGTGTATGCTCCATGAAAAAATCAGCATCGCTCTTGTCAGGGGAGTGCCCAGGGGCTCCACTCAGTCCATCTATAAGCAGCTGAAGAGAGGGGAAAAAAAAAACAAAAATAAAAAAGACATTCTACAAGACTTAGCATCCAGTGTCACACATCTAAGAGTACCGAGCTGTTCAGACTTACATCAGTGCCATACTTGGCCATGGCAGCACTTGCCAACTGCCGAATCTTCTCCCTGTACATCTGGGCAGCTCGACTGTTATACTTAGCGTTGGCATCTGTGGTAGTGCAGCCATGCTGGCGGAAGAAAGCGGTCTGCAAAGAGAAGACCATCCAGTCTCCGGACTGCTAGATTGTACTCAAACATGCATTAGACATAACTCAAACCGATCAGAAAAAAGAAGCTTCCCAGAGACAGAATACTGATCACACAGCATGCACCAACCACTCACTGCTCAGCTTCCTCCAAGAAGTCTCACTCTAGGCCCCAGAGCCTAAAAAAGCCATCCCTGTCCTCCACAGGAGGATGCTTCCGAGTCACAACACTGCGCATGAGCTTTCAAACTGATCAGTGTTACTAACTCCTTTCCTTTAAGAGGATCACGTCTTCCCTTTAAACGAGACATAACGAAGTAGCAAATCTGCACATCGGAAAGCAGTATGTTCAAAGGTCACAGTTCAAAGGTTCCAAACAGCTGACAAACATGTCCCCTCATTACGCACTTCTGAAATGAGGAAAGATTGGTACCCAGAAAGCCACACAGAAAACAAGAGACAAGAAGCACAGAATGTGGATTAGCAAGAGGAAAAGCAAGCAAATTGCCTACAGAGGCTCCTCACCGCATTGGCATTGCTGCCTACTTGCATACACCTCAGCTGGAACCAGTTCCAGTTTGAATCCAACTCTGTGGACCTGTGTGAGAACAAATGATTTCTATTAATAATGTGCAGGCATGCCAAATGCAAGACAAGCTCAGATATCCCACTATTATCCCAGGGCATAGGAGGCAAAAGAAGAAAAAACATCTTGGTAACGTCTTGGCTCCCACAAGAAATTAACCCAAAGAAGAAATTAACCTCAAGTGAGGAAAAAACCCAGTTTGAGCTTCACACCAAGTAACAGCGTCTCCAGTTGCTTAGAAGGGTGGAGCCTGAGCTGGAAAGCACAGCCAACAACTTTAAGTCTATGTGTGATCTCTCCACAAAACGGGAGACTCATACTCAGCCCATCCCACAGATTAGTCCAGAACACATGACAAAGCAACTGAGCAAACAACCAAGTAAAGCTGAGGAACAGAGTATGTCTCAGCAATGAGCCAGCAGTGCCCTCGTGGCCAAGAAGGCCAATGGCTTCCTGGGCTGGGTTAGAAGGGGAGTAGCCAGTAGGTGGAGAGAGGTCCTCCTGCCCCTCTGCTCTGCCCTGGTGAGGCCACATCTGGAATGTTGTGTCCAGTTCTGGGCCCCTCAGCTCCAGAGAGACAGGGAACTGCTGGAGAGAGTCCAGCGCAGCCCCAGGGATGATGGAGGGATGGAACATCTCCCTGGTGAGGAAAGGCTGAAGGGGCTGGGGCTCTGCAGCTTGGAGAAGAGGAGCCTGAGGGGTGACCTCATAAATGTTTATAAATACGTCAAGGGGGAGTGTCAGGAGGACGGAGCCAGGCTCTTCTCAGCGGTGTCCAGTGACAGGACAAGGGGCAATGGGTACAAGCTGGAACACAGGAGGTTCCATAAAAATATCAGGAAAGACTTTTTCCCTGTGGGGGTGCCGGAGCCCTGGCCCAGGCTGCCCAGGGAGGGTGTGGAGTCTCCTGCTCTGGAGACATTCAAACCCCTGTGTGACCTGCTGTAGGTGATCCTGCTCTGGTAGGGGGGCTGGACTGGATGATCTTCTGAGGTCCCTTCCAACCCCTGACATTCTGTGATACCAGTTACTCAACTTATCTCTGAATAAGTAAAGATCACAGTTCTATTACTTAAAATGCTAATTTTACAAACACTGAAAATAAGATCAACAGGCTGAAAATCCAACACTGTCTCCCTCACCAGGGTGATACAGAAAAAAAAATAACATTCCTCTCTTTGCCACGTTCAGCATTACAAGAAAGACTTCCACATCGCTGCCTTACTGACAAGGTTCACAAACCACCCTCTCAGGCCCTA